TCCAAGTCCATGAAACAGTAGCAAAATTTGTTCTGATAATCATTTTTTAGTTCTGCATACTCATTTAGCTTTAATGAAAATTAATGTCTGACTATATCAAACTGCTATAGCAAATTAGATTATGATTAAAAGATTTGCTATTTTTTTCTTTTGAAACAGGTAAAAACTAAAAACGTTAATTATAAATTAAATTTGATAGCCTTTTAAATACTCCAGTTCATTGAAGAGTATGTTAAATTTGTATTTCCCTTTATAAATATATCTTTTTGGATAACATATATTTGTAAGCACATGAAATATATTTTTAGGAGCCCGTTTAACTTCAATCGGAACGCCACTTTAAAAGATAATGATTTTTCCAAAAAATGTACTAGAAGCTGAAGAACAAACTCTGGTGAATTTTTCAGACAATAGCAAAGTGAAATAGGACCAAAAAACTTAAGTTTTAAGAATTGATTTACTTGATGATGTATATAACCCAAAATATGCATGTGACTTACGTGTAATCCTATCTTAGTGGTAAAGCTGATGGTAACGATATCCACATTTTGGAGTCGTGAGTTCGAATCCCATACGCTTTTTGCACCATGTCTGCAACTTTCTTACCTTTTTATTCCAATTTGATCTATATTCGTGTTTTATAATTTATTTCTATTATTATATGCATTAAATATATTGTTTTATTTATGCTCTTATTTATTTAAATTTTTCCCGCAAAAAAGTTTGAAAATTATATAATACTAATTTAAAGCATATCCTGTACATATATATTTGAATTTAACAAACATTCTCTATTCGTAAAAAGCAAATTTAAAGTTAATTAAATTTAAATGAAATTTAATGCAAACAAAGAAATGATTAATTATTGCTGTGTAAGTATCAAAATCCATGAATAAATATATAATTCCAAAAATTTATTAATCCTTAAAAAATTTATAAAAATGCATAAGTGAATAATGGGATAGATTATTAATCCTAAAAAAATTATAAAAATGCATAAGTGAATAATAGGATAGATTATTAATCCTAAAAAAATTATAAAAATGCATAAATGAATAATAGGATAGATTTAATCCTAAAAAACTTATAAAAATGCATAACTGAATAATAGGATAAATAAATTTTTGGAATTATATATTTATTCATGGATTTTGATACTTGCACTTGATTTACATATGCTCTCAGAATTTAAATGATATTGTATATTAGTTCGCAGCAATAATTAATCCTTTATTTGTTTGCATTAAATTTCATTTAAATTTAATTAACTTTTAATTTTTACGAATAGAAAATGTTTGTTAAATTCAAATTTCATTCCTTGCAGCAATGGCGCAAGAGAATTATTTAAATTTAATTTATTTTGAAACCCTGCAGATATATATATATATATTTTCGTTTCACTTTTATGTGAATGTATATACATGTGCTCAGACTTTGGGATGTTTACGACTCTAAACTTTCATTCCAATTAACATGAGACAGTATTAATGCCCTAAACATTTTTTTTAACAAAAAATTACTATAATAATTGCTTTTAAATTCAGTCCTCTCCTGCAGAAGCGCAGGAATTAATTAATTAAATATTTCCATTTTCTTTACCTAATGTGTGTATATATAAGAGAAAAATCTTATTTTTATAACTTCTTGTATAAAAAGAGATATGAATTAAAATGTTTAAATTAAAAATAATATTTTATGGATTATGTATAAAATATAACTACTGCCCATAGTGCATTTTAAAACAAACGAGATTTCTAATAAATTATCCAGCTATGACCCTGAAGTCAGCGGTATACAAGCATAGCAAATTTTGCTTAAATATTGTGAACCTTTCCTTACAGTTGCTCTGTACTTTTAAAGTACCAACTATTTTTTAATCCCTTTAACTTTTTTATTTTATGTTATTTATTTGTTTACTTTTTCACTAACAGTACATTTTAGTTTTAATAATATATATATTATTTCATAATATTTAAGGCTTCTAGAAACACAATTTTTTTTTTAAATTTAGTTCAGCTTCTACGGAATTCGTGATGTTCATAATATGCATTATAACCTTACTTATCTAAAATTCCATATTAAATCCAAAACAAACAATACTCGCTTAAGCGGGAAAAATTCAGTCGTCGTAACTTGCGAACTGCTTGCGCCAAAATATTACAGTGACACCTAGCGGCGGAAAATGAAAATATTTTACGCATACGCAGCAGTGGAAACGCTTGTACGGATGCCGTAGGCGTGTCTTCAATTGACGCAACGCGTTCGTACGCAGTAGTGGAAACGAGCCTTTACCCAACGATTTAATACGTTCAAAATTCTTAGTAATCAAACACTTTAACTCACACACTGCATGCCTTGCCTCTTCACGAATATTCTGGTTCATATTACACTTTGACTCAATAGCCGTTTCAAGTTGATCATAGCAACATTTAAGCGCACTCTAAAATGCTCTCTTCGTCCATCCTGGCATTCCTTTACCTCGTGGCGCTTCTCAAAGATGCAAACAAATCGTTGTCCTAGGCTTAATTATACCGAAATCTTGTAAGAGCCATAAAATTAACATTACTTCTTTCAACTTGAAACAAATTGCATAAATATAAAGCAGAGCATTTGCACAAATAAAATTATACACAATAAATAGTTTACACACATTAATTATCGCAAAATAAACCTGAAAATCAAAGCCCAAGAAAACACACAGAGCAATGGCGCGAGCATACGCAATCCTCAGCGAATGATGCAATCTTAGTAGGTAAAATACATACTTTTTCCATTCGCATTTTACTAATGGACCAAAAAGTAAATTGTGAAATCAGTTTTGAATAAACTTCAAAAGGTAAAAAAAAAAAAAAAAAAAAAAAAAAATGTTAAAAAAAAAAAATTATTCATTTCCAAACAAAATGTCTCAATCTAACTGCAATTTTTTATGGCCTTATACTATTTAATCCGAGAATTAAATTGAAAAAAAAAAAAAAAAAAAAAAAAAAAAAAAGATAAAATCAGAGGCAGAAAGAACGGAAACCAAAATCTATACTTTAAAAGACACATACTGGAAACAGTTATAGATTAGTCCTAGATCATCCATTAGCTCCTAGAGAGCTTAAATTTCGTCGGAGTCCAACTGAGCTTATCTCCGGAACGTCTAGGATCTTGATTTAATTCTAGCCAGAGGTCACCGGATTCCTAGGAAAAAGTGCTGTGACCCTTCATTTGCGTAAGTGAATCATATTTTCAGCAAATGGATTTTATTTTGACACTAAATAGGCCTTAAAAATTGATTCATATTTCTGAATGCATACCTGTCTTTCCCTGAAGAACAAACACTTTGACGGAGGTTGACACTATTAAGGAAAGAAAAGCTCCTCAATCAAATTTTTAAGGTTTATTCTCCAGGAAGTGCAGTGATTTTAGCAATAAATTCTTCGTTTCCGAAAGTGATATTTTAGTCGTGCATATTCAACGTTAGTCACTTCCCACTACAGAAGTCCTGCAAAATTTTTGAACGATGTAACCAAATACGAAGGACAAAATTCGTCACTTGTACAGAGCCTTATGTTTATTGTCACTTTGTTATCGGATATGATTCGGGGTATATTTTTCCGATTGTAGCATTCTGCTTAACAGCTAGAATTATATCGACAGGGCATAGGGGTCAGAAAGTGCTAGACACTTCTCTCTTCGTTTTAGAAGCTATAGTTCTTACAAGAAAATTTGCTTCTACGCTTTCATACTGTTTCTAACATTCTCTCTATTCTCATTAAAGACGTTTTAATCGTTTTACCTTTTTTCATTGGTTTCTATGATCAAGTGAAATAGTACATTATATAGCATATTCAGGGATTAAATTCAACTGGAGGTTAGCTGAACTATTTACTAGTTTTTGAGTGAAATTCTGATTAGAGCCAGAATTCTAAATAAAATGAGGTCCGATATTTAATTTTTTTATTTAACTATTTATCATTTATTAAATTTTATTTATCTCTTTATTTTTTATTGAATTTTAATTTCTGTTTAATTATTTTAATTATTAGTTATTTTATTACTTTAGTTATTTATTTTTCCTTCCTTCCTTAAGACCTTCCATAGAGTTTGGTCCCTCTAAATTTAGAAATTAAGCCAGCTGCTGGATAAAAAGGGTCAAAATAGCACCAAAAAGTAACTCGGAGAACAGAATGGAAAAGTCAGAAAAATACAGCTGAGTGGAATCAGCTGAATAACATGATGGAGAAAAGCTAGGAAAATGGCTGGGACTGAATAATTTATATCCCAACTTAACAAAAATGAATTATCGGTTCCAAAGTTAGGTTTGAAAAACAGTTTATTCTGGTGTTAACCCTTAAATGCATGAATTTTTATTTTTATTTTTAAATTAAAGTTACATTAGAATTTATATCAAATAAAATATAAAAAATACTAAAAATCTCTAGGCCAAATTTTTATTCCAATTTTTGAAAAAATATTATTAACTTTTACAAAAAAAAATGTGTTAGGAAAATATGTAATAACAATTTTATGTAATAATACGTACCTTATAACCTTGTTCAAACAATTTTAAAACTTTGGACACACCAAAATAACAACAAACACAAAATCAAAAATTCGTAAACACAAATCATGTCCGCACCCTATACATACACTCACAATAATGACCATTAAACCGTTAGTTGTGCCACCACATTTAAACTTTAAAAACTGTGTACGTAAACAGAATGTATCCAATTGGTTGCACTCTACAGTAAGCTAAAATTTGTGTTTTGATTTGATTTACATGACTAAATATGAGTATCTAATAGGAGTTGCCAAAAAGCAACTATACGCATTTAAGGGTTATTATTAACTTATTTAAATGTTAAATATTTCTGAAAAATTAAATAGACCATCCTGTTAAAAAAAAGCCCTTTGTTAGTTTTTGTGTCTTTTTTTAAATCTTGTGTCTTTTTTAAATTTTGTGTCTTTATCAGACTTTAAAACTACTCATTCTTCTTTTTTTTTTTCCCTAGTTCATGCTGTAACATTGAACTCTTTATGGGAGATGGAAGAAATTTCTACTCTAGGAAACAAAGAAAGAAATCTCCACAGCTCTTCTGTGTTCAGATACCTGTTTCAAAAACTTAAGTGAGTATGATACTCCAATAATCATGAAACCAAAACTGTCCATTCAAATCACCCATTAGTATGTATCTGACAAATTTAGCCTAACTGAAGAATAATTACATATGCAAAGTAAATACGAACGGTTTTTCCCGTGGCTTTATCAGTTTCTACTAAACAAAATAAGGCGATCGCGTCCTTTATAGATTTCTCCTGGTCATCAAAGTTCGATAAATGAAAATAGATAAAATAACCTACCAGAGAAGTATTACAGTAACTATACTAATCAGAGACAGATGTTTACAACATTATTTGTTCTCAAGAACGAAATAAACATAAAAATATTTATACAAGATCTGTTCATTTTAATTCGAAAATTTAGTATTTAGATTGAAAAATATATTTCCCTATTAAAGCGCAATTGAATCAAAATTTTATGATAATGAGGATTTATAATCAAAATTTTATGTGAAAAATACTGCAGAAGAGGTTTAATTCCACTGTTAAATACTGGTTCACTCATGCATATTCGATGTCATTTTAAAAAAATCTGATGTGGCCAGCACATGACTTCCCACTAATTTTACGTTTCAAATCGCAACGAACTTTAAGTTCACTGCTGGTTGATAGTTTGTAACCGAAATCTAATTTGTTTTTCTAATTAATACAAAGGTTTATAATGTGAAATTTTAGATATTTTATTAGGCTGTGTGTAAAAACTGGTTTTTCTACATTTGCATCAGCTTAATTAAATGTTTTTCTTATTTATTTTTTAATTAAAAATTATATTTTATCGTATAGTTCACTAACATATTATTTTAATTGTTTTTTAATTAAAGACATTTAAGTATTTATAATATATTTTTAAATATATGTATGGTATTCGTTTCAAAGTATTTATTTTATTAATACTTTGAAACGAATAATAAAGTATTGCTTCCAGTTTATCAATTTTAGCCAAAATGCAATATGTGTAAGGACTACTTTCTCTGGTTTTACTTCAAGTCTAATCAACTCTTTATATGAATGCAGAAAGCTTAAATACAGAAAGCAGAAATTTTTGGAAGTTTGATATGAGAGTTTGATATAGACGAAAAAATCATCACGCACGTATTCAAGGTACACTGATATCGTTATAAAATATCTAAAAACATATTGTGGTATTAGTAAAAACCCTAATTCGTATTTATTCATTGAACACTCACTATCGAATTTTAGGAGTAAAAACATTACCTTCCTTACCTATACATATAGGTTAGCGGGAGGTAAAAAAACTGGCGAAATCATTCTGATAAATTATCAATATATCTGTTTCAGTCATTCTGAATTTCCAATATTCCTAAACTAACACTATGCACGTAATGAGAGCAAGTAAAAGCAATTGAAATTTCCAGATAGCAAAATTATCCAGATTTTGATGCATGAAATTTCTAACACCTTTATTTTGGCATGGCACTAAGCGAATCGTTTTGGTATCTTAAACACCTATTTATTTTAAGTTTACCATTAAGTTGTGGAAATTATTAGGCTTTTCAGAGCGAGAAGTGGGGAAAAAGACTTTGAATCAAGCCATTAATCGTTTCATTGCTAAGTAAATAGACTAACCACTACATCTCAAGAGCTCGCTTAAGAAGAATGTCGTAATTCCTTACAAAGCGAAAGTATCTAAGTGGATTAACTTAACTGGAATTTCAATGCTTTAAGCCTTCCCACAAAATTAATTCTAAAGCTTTATAATGAAATGCTAGTATTATAAAACCCTGATTCTAATTTTAATTTTTAATAAAATCTGTCTAGCCTTCAGGCTACTTATTCTAGTCATCCCCATCTTAGATATTTCAAAAAGAAAGCACTGAAAATGAATAGAACAATATTGGTATCGTTTGAAATATTTAAGAACTACTGTTAATAGACATAAATAAAGGTAATATAAGGTCTCTGCAGTCACAGAAGATTTCTAACTAAATACTGATCGAGGTAACGTTGATTTAAAATATCCCTCAATTAATAAAATGATTCGATTTGGAAATAAGCTTACGTATAACTCATTTACCAAATCGGGCCCACCAGCGGCCGAGCGGTAAAGTCGCTGAACACTGGTAGTTCGGTCCGAGGTTCGATCCCGCGAACGGGCTGGCTGCATGGGTGTTTTCGTGGTTTTCCCCATGTGTAACGTATATACGAGCCAGTTTCCCTTAGAAAGTCCTCCACGAAAGGCATCCCTCCCCTTAGGCAGATAGCCCTAGTGTGCTTTGCCATAATTAAATACACCAACACCATTTACCAAATCGCTCGGCCTCGGCGATTTTGACAACTAAGCTACATAGTTAAGCAAACCCTTTACAGAACCAATATCTGTTTTTAAAGTTTTTAAAATCACAGCAATGTTAATTAATTAATTGTTGTCCTAATTTCCTTATGATTTGCCCTATTTCAAAAAAATCGTATGCGTTTTAGAATGAATGATGTGAATCGTAGAAATTCGAAAAGGTCGAACAATTTAAGAGTAATGGATTATTTAAAACCTTATACATTTTAATTAACATAGATAATAGATACAACTTGAGAATTCATGTAAACATACTGTCGCAAACATGCTCCTTTTATACTTTTGGAAAATTAGATTTTAAAAGCTACTTTTTAATGTTTAGTACAACAGCCTTCTCTTCATTTCAATAAAGAACTAAAAACCATTAATTTACGCTAAAAGTAATGTTTTTTGAAGTTAATAATATTAATCATATTTGATGCGGAATCATTACCGCATAATTATACCTTGGGCATAACTTACAGCAGAGAAAGACAGTAGTCATGATTGAGAAATTGAAAAAATATTGTCTTGTGTATAGGAATTAATAGAAACTAGCAATGCAGAAAACTAGATGTAACGGGTACATTCTGTCTATTCTTCTAATGTCTATGTGCCTTTTTTTCGTAGCTATATTATTATTTAATATATGGCTAAAGCAAAGTAACAACTGCTTTTTTTTTTTTTTTTCAAATGCTCTTTATCTTATAAAATTTAATTATTAATTCTTGACACAAATTTACTAAAAATTAAAACTAAACAGCCTTTTTATAAACGCAAAACTTACATGCAGTCTGAAATACACTTATGTCCATAAATTAAGGATAATTCGGAGTCACGCGGAAATAAATATATCACCTTTAAAATCACTACACACATCTTCAAGAATCATATGCAAATTTCAGGAAGTAACCAGATGACACCGATGGTACGTCACAATGACGAGAGTGTAAGAGTGTAATATATAAGGAATACAGGCAAAGAAGTAAAATTGTTCGCAGGCACTTCATAAACATTTCAGTGCAATAACCGAATAGTTATGACACAAAGGACGTATTTGGATGATTTTTTACGTGGTAGAATTATCGGCCGTCTGGAATGTGGGCGTACCCAACTGGAAGTATCAGAAGAACTTGGAATTGTCCAGAGTATCATCTCCAGGCTTTGGCAACGATTCCAAGATGATGGTAATGTGAGTAAACGTTACAGCACAGGTCGCCCCAGAGTTACAACGCCAAATGAGGACCGGTATTTGGCAGTTACTGCCAAAAGAAACAGACGGAGCACAGCCTCAGACCTGTCTCGTCAGCTCTCTTCAGCCACTGGTACGACAATTTGAAGGCAGACCGTGTACAGACGCTTAGGGCAGATTGGTCTATATGCTCGTAGACCTGTCAGATGCATTCCACTTACTGCAACTCACTGTCGCCTGCGGTTAGCCTGGAGTAGAGAGCATGCATTGTGGACACTGCAACAGTGGGCTTGTGTAATGTTTTCCGACGAGTCCAGGTTTAGCTTGCAGTCTGATTCCCGCCGGACCTTCATATGGAGAGCTCCAGGTACCCGTTACTACCAAGAAAACATCACTGAACGACACCGTTACGGTGGTGCAGGAGTGCTCGTTTGGGGTGGAATTATTCTGGGTTCCAGAACTGACCTGCATGTTCAAATTGGAACCGTGACAAGCCAAATCTATCGGGACTTCATTCTGGAACAACATGTACGTTTGTTTCGAGGCGCCATGGGGGCACAATTTGTGTTTATGGATGACAACGCCCGTCCTCACCGTGCAAACATCGTGAGCGAATGCCTTCAATCGGAGGATATCACCCGTATAGACTGGCCAGCATTCTCACAGGACTTGAATCCAGAAGAGCACGTGTGGGACATGCTTGGCCGACGAGTTGCAGCCCGTCAACCTCCTCCTACATGTCTACCGGAACTTCGGAGAGCATTCTTTTTGAGAGGTGTAATATTCCCCAAGATCAGATCGATAATTTGATACTCAGCATGCCTAGGCGTTGTACGGACTGCATTGCATCGTCTGGGAGACATACAATGTATTAACAATCATACCAACCATGTAATATTGTTTTTTTGTAAATATGTTTTTTTTTTTTTTTTTTTTTTTTTTTTTTTTTTCTGTGTAATTTTCTCCAGGGTGAAAAATTTTTTTAAATAATATCAAACATATAGCATCTTATTTTGCTCTTTACCTTTTGTTTAATAAATAAGCTTTACAAATAAGTCAAATTTGTTTTGCTTCTAGCTCTTCCTTTGCCTGATTTTGCATTATCCTTAATTTATGGACATAAATGTATTTAATTCAGAAATACTCACTTTAAATTTAAAAAATTGTATCCAATGAATATATAGATAGTGCATCTTGTCAAGTCTAACCTTGAACTTCAATCTTACTAGGAGCTTCAAGTTAGATTATTCTCAGCGTGAAAGAGATTAATAATCAAACAACTTAAACTGAAACATTTTATTTTTCAACTTGTTCACTAATAGGACGTACCGTATTTGAGGGATCATAGGACGCTACGTACTATAAGAAGCACCTTTATTTTTAAGCAATTTTTTTAAAAAATAACATTTTTAGCATTTTTGTTATTAAATTGCAAAGCCACACTAAAAAAAAAAAAAATATTCTTAGTTTATAAAAACCGAACTGACCTTTAAAATCCCTAAAAATTGTCATCTGAACGTTGTTCTTCCTCTTCGTATATAAGATAGTCTTCATTGCCATCTAGAGAGTTACTTATGCCACACTTCTTAAAAAATTTAACTATAATACCTTCTCTCCCTCTAGACAATATTGCCAGTTGAATCCAGTGTTGCCAGATAGGTTTCCCACGGCATCGAATATAAGACCATTTTTAAGATTGGCGGGAGTTTTAAATCAAACACTGGACATTTTTATATATTAACTGCGAGTATAAGACATACCTGAATTTTGGAGACAATTTTTTGAAGAAAAAAGTAGGTCTTATAATCCGTAAAATACGGTATTTAAAACTGGAAAATAATTATTTCGAAATATAACTTTTATTTATTATTAATACCACATCGTTTGCACTAATAAAAAGAAATCTCCCAGATAAAACTTTCGCTATCTTTACACAATTTTTAAATATGCCGCAAGTTATTCATATGAAAAATAACTATTCACAAATAGCAACTTCCCTAACATTTTTTGCTCTGAATATTTGCTCGTCAAATTCTTGTCAAGATAATCTGAAAAAGAGTTGAGATAAATCTCATTCCTCTACAAATCTGGAAAACATCGGTCCAATGTGCTCACACCTAAACTTAAATAAAGCAGCAGCTTCGTAATATATCTAAATCTTTTAATGGTAGTCGCATTAATTGCGGGAACAATAAGCAATCAACAAGCAACTGCAATATTTCGAACTAACACCGCTCCTTCTTCTTCTTCTTTTTTTTTTTTTTTTTTTTTTTTTTTTTTTTAAGTTTTAATTTTAATGAATGCTTTTGAGACGTTTTAATTTGAATATTTCATAGATGAGTGGTACGAAGATAGGTTAATGAAACCAGTAGCATTTTAACTTAAATTAAGATTAAAATTTGTGTTACAAGAAATTGAAATAATTGTGTGCATATGTATTTAACTTTAAAAAGATTTGAGCTAATTCTTCACAATAAATACCTGAATTTTTCATTTCAGGCATATATCCCGTAGGTACAATATGCTCAATATACCCGACAGCGCAAATGGGAATCTGTTCAACAATCACCTGGATATGCAGAAGCCGATGCAAGAGAATTCTACCTTTGCTCGTATACCCATTCTCATTGCGTGCTCCATTGTCGTATTCGTTCTATTCATAGCTGGCACAGCAACCACTGTTATTTCTTATCCTCCACCACCAAATGGAAGTTCTGGAAGAAGGATGCCGACAGCCTTGGATGGTGATTATAAACTTTTAGGCCCACTTTTACTGATGGCTGGATCTTTTTTCCTTATTGTTGATATCGTTCTGTGTGCAGCTGTCACCAAAGATGCCTATTACTCATCTAGGATAATCAGGCCTGTGTCGAATATGACAACAGCGACAGGACAAGTCGTAGGAGGACCTTTCTTTTTAGCTGTCCCCAGAACATCTGATCAGCAACATATTTCACCTCTGATGCGAACCCTCTGGCCTATGCCAAATGCTCCCTTGCCAGATTTTTCAGAAGATATTGGATCACCAAAAAGACCAAAGGTTCGAGCTGCGACTGCTACTCTGTCAAGATGTCACCAGCCCCCTTATAATCCAGATGCTTAAAATCAAATTTCATATATTCAGCGCGGATCAGAATAACTTCTCATCAACTTTCGGAATGAATGTTAAATGGACAGCAAGATGAGAAATTAAATAGCATTATAATTATAATTGAAGAATGTGTTTAAAGCTATTTTTCCACAAATTCGAAGATTTGAAGAGAAGATATTAATATATATTTTCACAAGACGTTGAGAACGTAGGAATCGTTGAGACAGAGGAGATTAATGCACTGCAGCAAGAAACACTACAAATAAATTGTTAAGTGTTACATTATTAAATAAATAAGGAAAAAATGTATTTCTATACTACTAAGATGAGATCACGATAATTAATTTTAGTTTTCCTTTTCTTAATAATACCCAAATGGTGTTTGCCATAATAAAATACAGTCAAAAGTCGTTAATCCGGACACCCATAATCCAGAATAATCTGTAATCCGGACCTCAAAGCTGCAAACTTTCTGCGCATGCGTCAACGCATAATACGTTTACGCATGAGCGTAATACATTTACGCATGCGCATACGCGTGTGCGCATGAGCATGATACGTTTACGCATGCTCGTTTAATGTATAACGGACGGTATAAGCTAAGCTAAAATTATCTAATTATCTATTTCAGTTAATGTTGCAGATTGCGTTGTTCCTTAATCTTCGAATTGGATCCGGCTTATTATTTTTTGCAGACTGTTAGAGTAATTTTATAAAAGTAAGCTTTAACTTTCGATTATGTCAAAAAGAATTTCCGATTTTGGAGCTGCCAAAGGATCTACAAAACGAAAGCATGTTTGGATGTCCATCAAACAAAAAGTGGAATTGCTGCAAAAAATGGATAAAGGCATATCCTTTGTTTCTCTAACCATTCCGAAATCTGTTTATCAATTTCATGCTGCTCTGAGGGGGGTAGGACCTTGCGGCGCGCAATGAACTGGAAGTTGATCTGTCAGCAGTATCCTTATCTTCAGGGCAGATGTTTTTATATTATTCGGCTTATAATTCCTTACTAAATGTAATATTTCATCTCGATGTACTCCGTCTTTGATATGATTTAAATCAAATTCCTCGTCATTATAATTCGCTTCCGAAAATGAAGAAAATGGCACAGAGGTTATTGAAAACGAAAAAATTTCGATTAACAAATTAGTCGGTATTCTCGACACAGCAATTATAGGACTTGAACAGCGGAACTTTGTAACTGAAACAAGAAATTATGTCTGTTTAATAGAATTAAAAGAGAAAGACATAAAAACAAGCAAACGAAGCAACTTACATTGAAAGGAAATGCTTTAATAAAGTAAAAAAATAAATATTAAGCTTTTTTTTTGTAAATTTTGATACCCTTTAGATCATAATTGTTCTTTACTTCATAAATTACGATTTCATATTTTAAATTTTATAATTTCTGCATGCCATCTTACCAGATTTAAAATGATGATCTATAAACCGGAAAAATCGATAATCCGGAATCGCCGAAGTCCCGACGAGTCCGAATTAAAGACTTTTGACTGTAATACAGTAAATTCCCGATTAATCGTAGGCGAATAAACAGGGTTGTGTATCAATTAAAATAATTAACTTTTTTTATTGAGGAATGACTAAATGAATGGAATTAGGAATCGATTTCATCCACAATAAAACATGATTTAATCTAAAATATGTAAACAATCTCCAATACAAAATAAAAATTTCTAACCGTCTTTTTACGTGAATTTGTATTTAATGTCATTGCTCACGTGCTATCGTAAATACAATTATGACTTACTTTCTTCACGTCTATTGTTCATTATTTATAATGTGCTTTTTTTTTTTTTTTTTTTTGCTTTGAATGCTTATTTAATTTACACCAGAAAATGTATTTATTATCCATATTAAATAGCTTCAAAATATGGGAAAACTGTTAATAGTATTTTCTGTCAATTATCATATAAGTAATTATTTTGCCTATGTTTATTTAACTGTTATTGATTAATCGTGATTTTGGTTTAACCATGGACCCGATATAGCCCCAGTTTATCGAGAGTCGACTGTAAATATTCAAACAAGATTTATCAAAAAGATCGCACCTGGAATAAATATATATATATTTGAATAATTTCAAAAGTAAATATCAATTATTTTAGTTTATTGGTTCAGTTTGAATACGTTAAAAACTTGAACATGTCAATAGATCTAAGAATTGTCAAAATGGGATCTTTCTATTTTAGAATGAAATAAAATAAACAGTTGAGAGAAATGTACAATGTTGTGAGAAAGGACTTTTCAAAATGTAGTCCTTTTATATTAAAAGAAAGCATTAATCATTGAGCTAGTTGCTTCACTGTATTAGAGAAATTGTCTTCCAATTTTAAATTAGATAGCTGATTTTAAGGATGTCTAAGAACATTCCGTTGACGAATGAACGCACGGGATGAATGTAGGAATATCTTATAAATGGGAATTAGTCTTTCGTTCCAAATATCCGGAAATTCTGAAAATGTCTGTTAATGGGGACGGTCTGCTAAAATGAAATATACTTTACTGGGATATGAGTTCCTCAAGAAAATTCCTGTTAGCTTACCTATCGAAATGCGTACAGCTTTTAAAATCAGTTCCAATTTGATACTGAATTGTACTTGCTTTGTAGAGATCTTTGGATTTCTCGAAACAAGAGACATAAAAAAAAAATAATAATAAATAAAATGCCCTCGCTTAAGATTCAAACTCTGAACCTCCAGATTGAAAAGCCGGACGTACTCCTAATTACACCACAGCGGTAAGGAAGGGAAAAGCACCATTTTATCCATAGGTAGAAAATTCGTTATGTCAATGGGAAGTGGGCCTTCGACAAAGCCTCATTTTACTTATTATGAAAATTTACATGCTATCGAGAGAACAATGGACAGACGCAAACAGATACAGGGGGCTAGAGCCTTTAAATTAATCCCAGAATGTCCGTTCCGAGGTCTGGAAATGGTTCAATGACAGGCGATGTATCCATACCGAGACCGAAAACGTAGTGCAACTGTTTATCATGGCCGTTTATTGTCTATAATCGTCAAAAAAAATCGGCGAATTACTTCTTCATAAATTCAGTAACTACAATAGAATTTGCAAAAGATAGAATATTTCGAATATCCCCTTACATCCCATATACCGTGAGTGAAATTTTTATCAAAGAATGCAAGGACTGGATTGGATTATATACTTAGATTATGGAAAGTACACTGTGGTTATCTGCCTAAGATGGAGGATGTCTTCGCGAAAGGTTTTCTAAAAAGCACTGGCTGATGTTTTCTATACGGAAAAATTGATGAAATATTTTCCACTGCTGAAAACGTCGTCTTAAAATTATGCAGAAAACTTCACGATTGGAACACCATTGACTGAAATTGAGTACTCTTCACTTTCGAGTATAGATTTTTTTAAATGGGTCTAAACATGAAAACTTGTTTAGATCCATTTTCCATGATTATGCAAACAAAACAATAGTTCTCATAACTTCATCAAAACAACGTAAAATACAATTGGTCAAATACAATTATGGTGGGAAGAACAAGGATGGAACTATGGTTTGAATGATTGCATTGACCAGCTTAGCTTTATTGGGGGAATTAGTTTGCTTAAATATTATATGTTGAGACGAAATTATTAATATTGATATGACGCTTTTTAGATATTCTGTAAATGATAAGTTTATTATGATGGACTAAAATGTTCGCCCTCTACCAAAACCTACTGGTGTGACAGTATGTAAAAGTGAAGGAATCTAAACGGCGTAGCAGGTATATTTAACAAAATTTAAATCCCAAACTTAGGTGTAGGGAGTATTGGGACATCAAACATTGGGTTTCTTCAATCCCCAATTCATTCTCTGCAGGAGCTTTTGAAAGGCCTTAGAATGAATACTTTTTTGTTATAGCAAGGAATTTGGGTAATTTTAAAAAAGACGTAAAAGCATGATGCGATGCTTACCATTTGGAGTACTCTGTACATTACTAAAATTTACCACCAGTCTGAAAATATGGACAAAATTTAAGATCAAAATGTTTGTTTCATCAAATAAATATAAGTCAAATTTCATATTAATACATATAAGCCTCTTTAATCGGTATAGTGATTAGCGATGCTAGCTGCCGTATTCCTGAAAATGGACTTGAGTCCCAGAGTAGGCATGGGTGTTTTATGTGTCTGCGCTTGATGGGCAATTTAAATACCGACGAGTGAAGAATTTTCTCGAGTGGTTTAATGGTAGGAGATCAGAAGATGCACGTCTGGAGGTATTACCCATCGCAACTGGGTGGAGCTGGAAAGTTAATGCGGTGGCACCGTACCTGTACGACGAATAGTGAAATTCTGATGTATACCTGTTAATACATATAAAAAAGTTAATTTTAAATATAAGCTATTTTGCTTATAAAATGTTAAATGTGACAAAATTTGGAAAAAAAAAATTCAAAATTTCATTTTTAAATTTTCAAACTAAAATTTTTGAAACTTTTTCGTCTTTTCTTTATTTTTTTGCTCCCCGTTTTTCCTTTTTCTCCTCTTTTAGTTCCTCTCTTCGGTGTACTGAATTGGCAAGAAAGGAATTTCGATTTGCACAAATAGATAGCGTTATGACCATTTTATTATTCTTCTGTCAAGCTTATAATTTTTTTCTCTTGAGGTCTGGCAACTGACACTTAGGTTACTATAGAAACACATGCCGTATATTTTTCTTTACAATTGTTAGTTTACGGTCAGTTTCATCATGGGGTGCAAAAATACCGTTTACGCTCGTGTAATGTCCGCGCTCATGTAATGTCCGCACCCCAACTTTACAGGTAAAATTTATGTAAAAAAAAGTGACCCGCACAATGTCCGCACGCCAAAAAACTAAAGAATTTCTTACTTTAAAATATATTTTTTTAACAACGCCTTTTTCCTTTTAGACAATAAATTTAGTCAATAAACATCTTTAAAAAAGAATATGCATTTTTGTTGTCTTTGGTTGGCGAGAGGATGGAAATCATAGACTTTTCTTGCATTCTGGTGCAGCTGTTATTCAGTCATAACATCGGCGCCAGCAATCCACTCGGCAGACGAGATAATAAACGAAGGCAGTCCAAACAGGTTTTCACCTCACTGGCTTCCAAGAAATGCTGTTTTGTGATGAGATTACTTTCCCCTATTTCCTCCTTGGAACATTCACATATTTCAAGCTTTCTCATTTCATTCATAGTATTATTTGGAATTCCTGGTAGTTAGCAAGTAGCGTGCTTGAAATGGGAAAATACAGCAGCTATACAGCGACTTTTAAATTGAAAGTCAGAATTTGCGCAGGAAAATGGAAAAACAGTAGCAGCAAAAGGTGGACGAAATGTTGTGCGCAATTGGAGCAAACAGCGCGATCAACTGGCGTCAACGAACAAAACAAGACTTGCGTTTCGTAGTTCAAAATGTAAGTTTCTAAACTTAGGAAAAAACGTAGTTGCGTATATTCGTGATATGCGTGCTCAAGGGTCACGGGAAATGTGCCAAATAAGAGCGCTTGCTGCGGCAGGAGAAGACATTCCTACATCGCAATTCAAGGCAAGTAAAGGCTGGTTGCGGTGAATGATGAAACGAAATTGATTTTCATACAGTGCGTCAGAATATAGTTTTAAAAAAAATAATGTGTGCAAGATATTAAAAGAACCAACGTTT